ACATCACTCTGAGACAGTGTGTAATAAAATATGGAAAATGTGTTCAAAATGTGCGACCTCACTGATGCAATGAGCTGACATGAAAAACACTTTCTTCTCGCTCTGAAATGACATGATGTGGTTGCATTGGCTTGGAAGCAGATGTATTCTGCTGCTGCTACTGTCACTGCTTCTGCCATACCTGTTCTGTGTACAGAGGACTTCAGGGCTCAGGGGATACACACTCAGCCTCCTTCACCAGCACAAAATGCAGAGTGTCACCCTTTCCTGAGTAATATAGGATGGAGTCACTCTTTGTGCATCTAAAGGGTGAAGTGCTGTGAGATAACACCTTTATATGTCCCTTCTGCCCTCACAGTGGGGTAAAAAACTGATTGCCCATTACTCTGACCTTTGAGGATGCAGGAACTTCAGCAACACGGCTGCTCCAATAAAACCAGATGACATGCAGCCCGGCTTTGTAGACATAGGTCTAATTGTACCTGTCACTGACCAAGTCTGAACCCTTGCTCTTCTCACTGCAGCTCTACTGTCTCTGTGTTTACCACATAATAAATAAAGCTTTTCTACTCTTTCTCCTTTTTTAGTATAGAGCTTGGGTGCTAAAATAAACCCCATTAAGATAGCTACTGTTATTCATTCCTGTAGTACTACTGCATCTGTGATTTTAGTTCAAAGCACTACAATCTCTGCATTTCATGGCCGTAACATGACATGGTAAGAAAATACTGGCTCCAAAACACTACTAAAACCTGCAGCGCTAAGTAATGCTGCATCTAGTATCTGCAGCAGGAGAGAAACAGAGTAATTCCAGTTGGAAAGGACATTCCTCTTAAGGCCTCTAGTCCAAACTGTGCTCAAAGGAGAACTAACTTTGAAGTTAGGCCAGGGAGGGAGTATATCAAGAATAATCACCTTCATCCACCATCACTGGGCAAGACAGAAATTAAATACTTGTTTGTGTGGATTAAATGCAGCATTTATAAGAACTGTTAGGGAATAACATTACCAGCCAATGTAGATTCCACGGCAAGGAACTGATAATGAAAGGTTGGTCTTAGCACCGCATATTCACTACTTCATTGACACCTTCTGCTTTTCCAAAGATTGGATGTGTAACGCATGCAGATGATGTTTTTAAAGTCAAATTAAAAGGTAAGTAATTTCAAAGTGGGACTCATTTTTAAATATTGTTGAGTTTTCTCCTAGCGGAAAATAACCAAGCTTCAGACTAGTTTGCAGCTCTTCTAGCCACTGGCTTCTGAACTGCTACGTTTGATTCACTGGCCAGAACAGGATCAGGCATAGTGGTAAATATGCCAGTGAGTCAATGGAAACACAGCTAAAATTGCAACTCTCAGCACCGGCAACATCAGTGGAATTATCTGGGTTGGAGTAACGGTGTCAAATGTTAGTGAAAGAAGTCTCATGTAGCCTCAGCTTTGCTCCATGAGGCAAGCAGCTGTGAACTGCAGAGCTGAACAAGCATTATTGAGAGATAAAATTCATGTATGCACACTATTCTCTTTTTTTAACCCCTACAAGAATTTTCAAATCACACTTTCTCCCACTCACAAATACTACCCTTCTCCAAGGTGACTAAAAACCATCATGTCCCTCCTGTAAGAAATTCTGCTCTTTTCTGGTTTTACTCAATATCAGAATGAAGCATGAAATTTAATATTAAAAGTTCCCAAAAGGCACATAATCACAGAACTGTAGATTTTCAGGCAGTCCCTCGTCAGGACATGTCTGCACTGCCATGGCTGCTACAGGGAGTTATAGTTCCACATCTCTAGTGTTCAGTATCTTCCCCGCACAGCTTTTTCCTCCAGCTGAACCACCTCTTGACCACACTGCAGCATAGAAGTGCCACCCTATCCATTAACTGGGATCAGGCAGGGTAGGCTGTATGTAGGAAGGCACAACAGATCTAGATCTAGATGAGGGGATCGAGTGCACCCTCAGTCAGTTTGCAGATGACACCCAGTTGGGTGGGAGTGTTGATCTGCTCGAGGGTAGGGAGGCTCTGCAGAGAGACCTGGACAGGCTGGAGCCATGGGCTGAGGCCAACTGGGGGAGTTTCACTATGGCCAAATGCTGGGGGCTGCCCTTGGACCACAACAACCCCCAGCAGCGCTACAGGCTTGGGGAGGAGTGGCTGGAGAGCTGCCAGTCAGAGAGGGACCTGGGGGGGATTGATAATGAGCCAGCAGTGTGCCCAGGGGGCCAAGAAGGCCAATGGCATCCTGACTTGTGTCAGCACTAACATGGCCAGCAGGGACAGGGAAGGGATCTGACCCCTGTACTCGGCACTGGTGAGGCCGCCCCTCAATGAGTGGGTTCAGTTTTGGGCCCCTCACCCCAAAAAGGCCATTGAATGACTGGAGTGTGTCCAGAGAAGGGCAACGGAGCTGGTGCAGGGTCTGGAGCACAGGTCTGATGGGGAGCGGCTGAAGGAACTGGGGGGGTTTAGTCTGGAGAAGAGGAGGCTGAGGGGAGACCTCCTGGCCCTCTACAGCTCCCTGAAAGGAGGGTGCAGAGAGGGGGGATGAGTCTCTTGAGCCAAGGAACCAGCGCCAGGACAAGAGGGAATGGCCTCAAGCTGCGCCAGGGCAGGGTCAGACTGGCTCTTCGGAAGTATTTCTTTGCAGAAGGGGTTGTTGGGTGTTGGAATGGGCTGCCCAGGGCAGGGGGGGAGTCCCCATCCCTGGAGGGGTTGAAGAGTCAGGTTGATCCAGCGCTGAGGGATCTGGTGGAGTTGGGAACGGTCAGGGTGAGATTCATGGTTAGGCTGGAGGAGCTTCAAGGGCTTTTCCAACCCAGATGATGCTGGGATTCTGTAACAGACACCTTGAATGTTCACACACCTGTCAAAGGTAGGCAGACTCTGCCCTACTCTCCACAGAGTCCTTCTCCCCCTTCTCATCCCCTCTTGTTCCTGTTTTTGTGTAGGATATGTAAGGACTTCCTCCAAAGATTGGTGCTTATAAAGGGTTATGTGAGGTGAGGATCATATATATGAGATAATGCAGTGCTTCCTGCTAAAATGTCTTCCAGAATGCCTCTCAGGCATATATAGCACTGTGCAGTGCTCCCAGATGTGACTACGTGTCTAAGGAAGTAAAAAGGGAAAAAACATAAACTACTGTGTTAGCTGAAAAACTCATGTGAGAACATGCAGTTCAAGTCTGCATTTTGGTGCCCATGGGATAAAAACGGGGGTTTTAATCTTAAATTTTCTCTCTTTTAGACTTTGGCTACCTGTGTCTCCTACTAACATCTAGAGGAGGGCAGCTCCAAGGAAAGGGCTGTTCTGTGCTGGCTCCATAGCCCTCTTTCCCAGGCATCTGGGGCTGCTACAGCTGGAGGTGAGGCACCAGGCTAGATCAGCACTCCCAGTTGCCAAGTGGATCTGCACTGGCTGTGAGCACAGACAACTCAAACATCACTGCACTCTGCTCCTGCCAAAGAGCTCAACCCCTGCTTGCAGTTTTGTCAAACAAGGCTCTGCCACAGAAAAGCCATTAGCTAAAGGCACAAAACCACCTGGTTGATGAGGCTGAAGGCAGCTTTTGAGATCTGGGGATGGTTGGTAAAGGCACCCTCCTCCTGGGATGCTTATGCTCGTGCAAAGCGGCGAGGAGGCATGATGGGTTTGGAGATCCCTAGAGAAGAGCAAGTCTGCTGTTACCCATCACAGATCTTCTTTCTGATACCAGCAACAGAATAAAAGCTCATACATATTTCTTTTTGTGCATGGCCCAAATGGGGAAGAGGGGTAGTGAAAAGAGCAGAGGAGAAACTTGCAGCAATAAAGAGTCTCTGGATCCTTTGCAAATTTCACTGCAAGAGACAGGCTCTGAAAATTTCACTGGAAGAGACAGGATCTGAATCTGGAGCTGTTCCAAGGGTCACACATTTCACTAGTAATACAGCATGGGCAACACACACATAACTATGTTAGACTGACTTTGGACTGTCCTACTTACTAAAACATGCTCAAGTCCCACAGTTTTCTATGGGTCAAGTAAAGAGTTAAATAAACCACAGCATTCCACACTCTCCTGAAGAGGGTAGGTTCCTGATAAAGAAACTACCTGAGGATGTGGCATATAAACACATTTCCATGTGGCAAGTCAGGTTCTGAACTTGTGGCACAGCAGTTCCTCAACAGTAGCCTCATGTTTCTAGCCCATGCAAGGTAGCTTAAAGGGCCTTGCTCAAAGATTTCAATAGAGTGACACATGAAATCTGATCTCATCGTAACTTGCTTAAGTGCTTTATCCTCACATTAAAACATTTGCCGAGTCCACAGTTTTGCAGTGCTCACACAGTTGTAGCAAGATCAGTTCTGCGTGGAAGAAGCCAATGCCCTCCTCCTCAGGGTGGGCTGTTTCCATGTCAAGTCAGAGTATCAGTCATTCAGGTTCCACCTCTCCTCCAACCAAACCAAACACATCTAAAGGATTTTTTTACAACAGGAGCAGTGAATTCCCTCACTTGTCCAATTCCCTTCTTTCTAGGGACTGGCAGAATCATGTCACATGTACTTAGGGAAAAGAGGGTGGGGACACACACATGATGACATTTCGTTGCATGCTACTAATGATGGAAAATGGCAACCTCAAACAGATCTTTCATTTCAAATGAAGTAGTTTTCAAACTTAACTGCTGTCTTGAGGATAAAAGTGGGGTGTCTGTGACAGCTGTACTACAAGGTGTATCTTGCTCTATACAGTAGCTCTGCAGCAAGGGATCACAGATGGTTTGTGGTGGTGGGAAGACCCAGCTCTTACAGTCTGCAGACTTACTGTACTTGTAGAATTCCACCTTAAAAGTAATTGGACATGTCTGTAATTCAGAGAAGGTTTGCTAAGCAATGACACATTGCACTTGGATCTGGAAGCATAACATCTGGAAGCCAAATGTTAGAGGCGATATAAAAGGGCCAGCCCAACAAACCAGCGGGGCATTTCTAAGCCAGGAACATCCTCAGGATGGACCTCGTCCTTCTTTGTGTGTTCCTGCCTCTGGTGACCGTGGCATGGGGCCAGTACGGTGACTATTACTACGGCCCCTATAACTATGGAGATAATGATGAATGGGTCAACGTGTATCGGCAAGGTTTCAACTTCCAGTGCCCACACGGGCAGGTGATCGTGGCCGTCAGGAGTGTTTTCAACAAGAAGGAAGGCTCCGACAGACTGTGGAACTATGCCTGCATGCCGGCGGCCCAGAGCCTCGGTGAGCCGACAGAGTGCTGGTGGGAAGAGATCAACAGGGCAGGAACCGAATGGTAGGATACCCCCACCCATCCCCGGAGGGCGCAGCCCTCATACCCCCTGTGGAATGCGGGTACTAATGCTGCGGTCAGAGCAATGCGAGCGCATAGTAATGCCATCATAACCAGAGGCTTCACTGCCCTGAACTACTGCCTGAGACTCATTAATCACAGTGCATGTGTGTGAGGTGATCAGCATCACATTTGCCTTTTCCGTAGTAATTTCTTACTGGAGGGTCTCAGTGCACTTTACAAATGCTTTGTAGTTTGGTTACTCACAACCTCAGCTGCAAAGTGGTTTGGTCTTGCTACTGCTGTTTTTCAGATGAGGAAAATGAGGCATGAACATTCAGTGAGGAGAGGATAAAGTTCCCCTTGAAATCATGTTGAATCAGTGACTAAACTGGGGAACAAATTGTAAAACTCCTCACTCCATCCTCCTGCTCTTATCACTAGAAAAAAAAATCTTCTCTGTATTGCACTGGCTTTTCTCTTTGTGTTTTTGTTGCTAAGCTTTTTGGCTTAGGCACAGTCAAAGGCTGTTTTCTAGTCATGCTGGTATTACAGGAGCCAAAAATCCACACTAGTGCGTGATGATGGTGGCACACATAGGTATGACAATGAGAACAGAAGATCATGTTAATTCCCTAATACAGCCAGTTTTGGTTAACTAAATGTTACATTTTCCATCAACCTTAGAGGTAAAGATGATTGATCACATTTTATGGCCACAATAAATTCTGGAAATACATACAGTGTTTCATGTTTAGGAAGCACACATCCAGTATTTAATTATCTTCTGATCTTTTCATGAAATGTGAAACACAGTTTTGGAAAACTCAGAGTTTGAAATATTCTTTGGACAGAATGAAATGAATGCAAGAATATTTTCAAACACTCGAAATGGTTTTGTTCCAGAAATTGCATTGTGATTTTTGTAGATTTCATGTTATACGGGAACAGGTTAGCAATGAAATGTGAAACTTCTGCTTTTTAAATGATTCAAAATTTTGTTCTGAATTATTCATACTCCTTCATTACACATGATACATTCCTAGGGCTGATGCAATTGCTAAAGAAAAAAAGATTGACCCTATACTTAATTTTGTAATAAGAACTGAAAAGAAAGGGGGAGAGCTACAAAACAAGCAGAAAGAAGACACTGTGATAATCCTGGGTGGCTTCTTCATTTTTCATACACTGATGCACTTTCTACTTATTGCATTGTTATTTTGAATTAGACCTTTCTATTGTACAAAATAAAATCGTTATTCTCTTTCTAAAAATCTCTGGCAGCAATTGCTCAAGTTCACTTCTCACTGACAGGATACTGCCTAAGTCTTTACAGAACATTTTCTTCTGCTATCTAACCATGGGGTCATATTCATCACCATGCTCCCTATGCTTAGCAAGATTACCTCCACAGTGTATTATTCGAATCTAATTTCCTTCACTTCTTAAAAAAAAAATAAAAATCTTTCCACTTTGTCATCTTCTTGCTTACATTTTTTCCTATTGCCAACCCTGTCTTTTCTCCAAATGTACTTTTCTTCCAACTCCTCTTTAATGTTATTAACTCTGTTTCACTCTCTTTCCTAGCTTCTGGAGTTATATTAGTTATTTCTTCCCTAGCTCACCTTTCCAGTCCAACATCCTTACACCTATCTGTCTTCTCTGCATAGTGGTCCTTCCTTTTTTCTTTTATCTATTTTTGAGGGAGAGGGGAATACACCAAAGTGATAAGGCAACATGTACCCCTTTGCAAAGATGAATTTGTGCTCCTAATTACTTGGGCTATTTCCATAAATCTCAGCTAGCTCTGGTTGGTTGTGTTCTGCAGGGCTGAGCTGGTTGCATCTACAGTGCTTCATGGAGAGAGGCTTGCTGTAAGCCAGCACATCCCTCACTGCGCCCAGACACTGGTGCCCAGCAGGCTCATCCCAGACTGGATTGAAAGTGTGGGCCAGCAGGCAGCCAGTCTGGAGTGTCTGAGTGCAAACTCAAACCTCAAATTAATGTGACAGCACGGACATAGCCTGTGAGGCCTTTGACAATCCCACACCTTCTCTCTTAGTGGTCTTACTTCTCATCGCTGTCTCTCTTCCATGCCCAGCTCCATGCTATCTGGAGCCATCCCCAATTCTAAAGAGATTGACTCAGTAACCAAGTGGGACCACAAATATGAGTTGCAATCTGTACCATTAGTTCCTGTTCGCCCACCTCTGTTTCCGCACTGATCCCCTGATGAACCAATATGTTGGTGAGCAATACCTCATCCTCATTTCAGCTGACACAGCACTCTGCTGGACTTGCTAGTCCATTCCCCATCCATGTAGAATGGACTGTAATATTTCTTCTTCAGCTCTGCCTCACAGGGTATTTTGTCTCACCTTGCACATCACATCTAGGGAGATTCAATGGCTTGTACCACCAGTAACTACAAAGCTGTCAAGTTTTTCCAAAAATTTAAGCTACATTTCCTCTGCTGTAATTGAGGCTTTTTATTCCTTGCCCTCTGTTCACTGAGTAATGAAAACAAGCACACTGCATCCTTTGTAAAATCTCTTTAACTTATAAATAGGTAGCAGCTATGCCTTTCCCTCACCCACACACTTTCACCCATGCTTTTGATTTCTGGCTGAACATGTCTCCATTCCTCTAGTCCTCCTCTGGAAATTTATATTCCCACACTTCTAAGCAAGGATCATACGTACAGCTCTTCTCTGAATTCCCTCAAGTTTCTCAGCCATGCCCCAGAAACTCTAGTCTGGTAGAAACACCACAAAATGACCTCTGACAAATGATGTTTATGGAGTTTCAGAAACCACCATTCCTGACTGCTGTGCAGCAGCACAACAGAGACAAATCCAAGAGAGATTTCTTTAGAAAAGACAACAAACCAAGAAAAGCTTCAGAGAGAAAATGAAGTGGGAATATAAAGCAGAGAGAAGAAAGTCCCCAACCCATTATTTTGGCTGTTCGCACTGGGGGGAAATGGCAGAAATGGATGTGGGGAGCATAGGGATAGGAGAGTTGCAGGGCAGGAGGGTAGGAAGGAACAACTGGCAGAGCTGTTTAAGTAAATTTGCTTCCTACACTAACACTAGGTATTATATGGGCTTCTACGATTAAAAGACTTTGCATCTTGGAGATATGAAACAAATTATTCAACAGAAAGAGGGCAATTACACAGACTCAGTTTATGACCTCTGCCCCCTTCAAGGAGAGAAACAGGTACTCTAAAAACTGCTCTCTGGGCCACCCCATCTCTCTCCTGAAGAAGACTAATGAAATCAAATAACCTCTGCCAGTTGCCTACAATTACCTACTGACATTTCAGAATACATCTAACTATAGGTGCTTCACTTAATAAATGCACCCCTGAAGTTAAGCATATATGTACATACACTTCTTAAAGAGAGCATGTCCTTTTGTGTTTTGCTCAACGGACACAAGAAACCTGTGAACATGCTACAAGACTCAGGGAAAATTTGGCAATAGACTGGGATCAGATGACCTCTCATGAGCTATCTTCTGAGCATCATTAATCTCTGAACACTTTTAAAGTTAGGTACGTGTACAAAGGCTTTGTTGAATCTGTCCCAACACCTTCTGCAGAGGCTATGTGCTAACTGAGATGCTATTCACTACTGGGAGCAGAATCTGTTCCTGGATAATTTGGAAATATTCATGTCTGAAGCAATGAAAAGCCTTCAGGACATCCTCTGATTCTACACAGTTCTAATTATTTGTATGCTGCGACATCTCAAGGAATCCTGCCTTTCAGACAGACTAAAGCTTATGTTCCTCCGTTTGTACTGGAGGAAGTTTGACCTTGGGCAAATATTTCACCACCTAAGAAAAGGTAAGGTCTGAGTGACTGCAGGTGAGACTGTTCTTCAGTGCTTCACTGAATACTAGACTTGTCTCTACAGATCAGTCTTTGAACAAAGTACTTAAGAAAAATTATTTTTCTTGCCTGAAAGTGATAATACAAAAGGACAGGGATCATACAAACAAATGAACAAAAGCTTGCAAGTAAAAGACAGGCAACTCATCCTTCCAGGAGAAAATGTTTGTTTTACACCACATAATGCAGATGGAACTGTGCCATATCCCCAATATACTCCCAGTTACCCATAAAGCAGAAGCATTTCCAGCTAAGTGGTATTTAATGCATGTTTATTGCCTCTTTTCCTTGTTTAGACTTCTGAGAAACTGTGTGGATAGGACTTGGAAAAAGCAGATACGTAGATTCTCCCTCCCCACTCCCATTCTCATCCTCATTTTTCTTTTCATTAAGTGAACACACACATGCATGCACACTGATCCTTCAAAGTAGGCACACAAGCCTATTTCCCACAAGCTATGTGCAAAGACAGACTCATGAGCAAAAGAAGTGTCTGCAGGAGCCTCCTGTTCAGGCACTGGCAGCACGCCCCGGTACATCTGCGAGGAACTGTTTTTGTTCTCAATCTCTGACCAATCCCAAATCTCAAATCTGAGGCTGTATTACCCAAACCCAATAATCAAGCTGCCCTTTCAAAATGTTCCCATTTGTGCTATCTAGGCAAACAAGTTAATTTTCTTCAAAGTCCTATGTTTATGTTAAAGGGATAGTACTAAAAGCTTTTAGCACAGCTGCAATGGACCAAGTCCAGTGGGAGCATCTGAGGAGAAGAGGGGTGTGTTTGCAAACAGGGAGGCCTCATCAGTGACTGTCGAGAAGAAAGCAACAGGGTGAATCCTTCCCTTTGGGTGAAGGAGAAAGAAAGTCATCACTGACCCCTAAATGAAAGAATAAGATAGCTGAAGATGATAGTGAGGCTGCCTTTGGCACGTGAAAGTCATGACAACATGTCTCACCACCCCACAACAGATAGCAAAGACTCCTCATAGAAGTGGCCATGGGAGACTGGCACGGCCTGATCAAACACACAAAAACCATTCCCTTCATCTGAGTGCCAGTGTTTCAAGTGCCCTGAGACTGCCCTCAGCCACTTACGTCTCCCCACTCATCTGTAACACACTGACTGTTAGATTAGCTTTCATCATGCAACTAACCAAATTACACAGAGAGAGGACACTCTACAAAAATAACTGGGGAGAGCAGGACAGGGTGTCCCCTCCACAGCTGTACCAAAAGGAAATTAAGTTTCAGATATTGAAAGTAACAGATTTTGGTGAAACAGCACTCCAGGAAAACAGTCTATCTAGTGTCTGGTTAACAAATCCCTCCCACACTCTAACCGTGGTCTTACTGGCTGCGTGAGGTGAGACCATCTCTCTCCCTACGCGCTCCAGGAAGGACTGCAGATGAAAGCACGCAGCATTATTTCTACTGGGTCAGTTTGCCTTGTCTGATATATCCCCTGAATATATAGATTTATTCTGCTGTGACAGGCTCTGGAGAGATAGCTTTAAAGTAATTAATGATGCAAGTTTTTCAGGCACCATCTGCTCTACAGCAAAACAGTGGGATTTTTCCAAAGTACATAGACTGACACTCTCAGGTTACCCTGTTATAAGGAACAAACCACCTTTAATGCAGCATGACCCACTGACTACTGAGTGTCAGATTCTGCATGTTCCCAGAGAGCTTCAGGAAGGGCTACCTGAGCAGTGCAGCAGGGGCTCAATGCACACACCACTTACTGCATCCTGACTTGGGCTTCTCTGAGCCATTTTGTAGTGAACAGGCTTCCTCTTTGAGTTGTTATCCTCAAGATAACATGCTGCTTGGGCTAATCCCCAGCGTGTCTGGGCAACAGGAAACCTCAGAGAGAGGTTTATAACACAGTGCCAGCATTAGATGGGGCACAACACTCTGGGTCTATTTGTAGCAAACGGCAAAAATAAGATGTAGAGATAATTATGAACTGTCACAAGTGGTGCCATTGCTCAAAACAATTATACTGTGGCAAGCAATGCTTGTCTTCAGTCTGGCAGGCAACTGTTGAGTCACTGAGGTACATGCTTGATCCCTAAGGCTGTATCAATGTTTGCAAATAATGCGGCACAAGTTAAGTGGATTTGTTGGGTGAAACAGTTCTTGTATGGACCCAAAATTTACACATGAATTCTGAGTGGGTTTGTTTCAAACCAGCACTAGTTTATTCTCACAGATAAAAGCTCACTGGCGAACAAAACTAAACTGATAACATGGATGCAGACTTTGGTTGCAGAACTCGGCTGTATAGTAAACCAGTTCAGAAAAAGATTTGGCTAAGGAGCGGCTTTCCACAGCAATTGCAGGAGGCTGGGAAAGTCTCAGCTATCATATCTCCGTTACTACGCAGAGCTCCTCCCAAAATAAGGCTGTATAGTTTACTTAGTTTCCATGAAATACTGCAGTCATTTCCAACAGATGTAAACGAGGGAAGGGCAACTTCCCATTCAACAGCACCTGACGCTCACCACCACCAACCTTCCCACTCCCTCACCCACCTGCCAGCTCACCTCCTCTTCTCCCAGTACCAGATACAAAAGGCAACTCCTCTCTTCATGCATTGCAACTTGATCCAACTAGAGAAACAAAACAATCTACCCACTGCCAAATTTAATCCTACACAGTCCCAGCTGGTTTCTCATGCTCTTCTGCATTCACCTTCTGAGGTATCTTCCCCTCTTCTCACCAACATCAGGATTTCATGAATGAGGAGAACCCAGTGACATTAACTCTGAATACTGAATTATCCTCTATAACCAAAGTGCTACAAAGTGGGTCTAGTGAAAAAGGAATTTTATTTTTTTTTACTTAGCCATAAATCAGAGGTCCTGGATCACTAGTTTTTATTCACAATACTGGTTTGCAGGACTTGCTGCGACAGGAGTAGTGAATTCAACAGAAAAGGAAGAAATTCTCACATATTAAGTAGGGTTTTCAGATTAGTGCACAGAGCATCTGACTACAAAGGTGTGTACGGAGAGGTTGTTTCCCTTAAAAAATTACTTTCTGCTTGTAGGAAAGAGGCCAACTGGGAAAAGGAAAGAGAAAAAAGTATTTTATATGAGCTCACAAATAAGCATTCCAATTTCTGAAAGCATCTCTTCATTTTTGGAGGAGTATCTGGATTTGACTTGAAAATTGGATCAGGGAAAAAATCTGACATTATCTCAAAGCTAAAGAAAAGTACTTCAATGTCACTATTCTGTTTCTTTCACTGAACGCAATATTGAGCTTTAACAGAATGCAGGACTCTGCATGTATGAGACTGAAGTGAAGAGGGAGAAGCAAACGAGCTTAAAAGTATATTTCAAATTTTACTTTGAATGCTTTTAAAATAAAATGGCAATTTAATTATAAGTCATGACTTATGGCCAGTTACACTCTCCACCTAAGAAACTAATTTTTAAGGCAACTCCAAATATTTTTTTAAACAGAATTTTCATCAGAAGATAGAATTAGGATCAAAAATAACCAAACCTTCCTAATAGTTGGTGCCCAGATATGTAAGCATGTAAACATAGGAGTATTACATTAGTTAGATTTTTTTTCAATCCCCTAAAGAGAGAAGGCTCCATCAGTGACATCTTTCTCAAAGTGAATGTTTCCACCAAAACTGGACTGTATTAGTAGAGGTGTCAAGAAAATAAAAACTGTTGTAGGGCAAAGAGAAAGGGAAAGAGGGCGGGTCTTCCCAGTCTGATTGTGAGCAGGTGCGGACAGAAAAAGGAGAAGGAAGAACGACCCACAAAGACAAATACGGGAAGGAGTATCAGATGCTGATCGTCGGGGATGGGAAATTGCAGGGCAATGCCAAGGCTCTGAGAGGAAGTTCAAAGGAAACGGAGGAACAAGATGCTCCTGTTATTGCACCTATGCAAAACAGCTAGAAAATCTCCCAGGGACACAAGGACTTGAGCAGTGGAAATGCATGTAACTGGGATGGGGGAGAGGCAAAAGAAAACAGAGACACAAGTTTGGTTCTACTTTACACAGGTTAATGCTCATCTTGCAACAGGTACAACCGTTTCCTATATTTCTGCATATCGACCTTTCTTCCATCAGGATAACACCAATCATCTGCAGCTATCCAATATGTTTACACAGAGTCTGAGCCATATGTTCCCATGGCCTGTGTGCCAAAAAACAGAGCATCTTCCTATCAAAGTCCTGCTGAAATCCTCTGAGTGAGAGCCAAACTGCCTTACTTGGTGTGATACCATAGCAACGCAGAGTCCCCATCACTGCTTATCTCTGAAGGTGCTTGAAAGAGTCTCCCAAAGCACTGCAACTATATGTGGCCTCAGCAATGTGGGATATGCAGGGACACAAACAACTGTAAATACTCTTGTCTGAACAACAGAACACAGTGGAAGGGACATAGAGAAGAAACCCCTAGTTCAAAGGTGGAAGCTGAAAGTTAGGCGGAGGAACTGATCAGTTTTTCAGCTTTTGCATACAAACACTTGAGCCTCACGCTTTGGGAAAGCTAACACCTGTATGTACAAGTGAAGGACTTTCCAAACACCAAACTCTGCTAGACGATGTGTTGTCCTTTCTGGGAACTTCAGGCTCATTAAAATCAACTATGAGGTTATTGAACGAAACTAGCGGAAAATTTTGGTATTTGTTAACGATAAAGTTACTTCTGAAAGTGTCTTTTGGATATATCAATTTATTTGATTTTATGGTATGGCAAGGAAGGTTTGCTACAGCTCTAGGCTGCCAGTTTTCCTTTATGAAGGAAAAAGAAAGAAAAGAAAAGGAAAGGAAATGGAAGAAACTGAATTCCTGTAATTTTCTCCAACAGGGTAACAATGAGGCTAGGAGGGTGCTTGAGAGAATGAGCACTCAATAGCTGATTTAATGAGCTGTCTGTTTTCACAGTCTCCTTGTCTTTACTCTCCAAGAAGCATGCTATTCAAATTGATTATCATTTGAATTACTTTGGTATCAGTGTCCAGATGCTTGTAGGGTGTGCAGAAAGAGCAGCATATATCTGCATGCTTAGAGACCGCGTCTACTCTACTTGAAGGCAGTGATTTACTTTTATGACAGAATTCCCCAGTACAGAGAGCATGAAGCAGCAGATTTTCCTCTTGAAAATCCAGTCAAAAAATGTATGTGAGTCTTATAACTTCTTAACACGGGAGATTCGGGTTTGCTCATGTGATTGCTATCAAATCATTATTTCATCACAAGCCTATAATGTTTTGAATTAAGAGTGTCTTCTCCTGGAGATAGGTAATTGAGAAAGAAATAAAATTGCTGAACTTCTCTTATAAAAGAGTTTGTAAGGCTTCTTTTTTGCAGAAAAGCAATTGAAAAAATTACTCTAGTGAATCCCAAAAGCTCAGATACCAACAGTCAAAGATAAAAGTATTAATGGACTATTTTGAAGTCAGTCTCATGGTTTGTAAGCAGTTGAGAATGTCAACAGCACAACAATCTTCCTGCCTGATTAGCAGGAATGATTAAATACTTAAAACCAGTTTAAATAGTTTTAACATAAACGTTAAGACATTATTAGTTAACTATTGCTGATTTCTTACACAAAATGGTTACTCAACACACAGTAAGTGCATACAGTGCTTCTCAATACAAAGCCAAACCTTTAGCTTCCACCCTGAATCAAAATTTTTAATGCTGTTTTCAGAAATGCTTGAAACTATCAGGAAATCTAATATCATGTTTTCCTTATGTGTTCTCTTCTTCCTCCTCTTTATCAGGTACCAAACCTGCTCAAACAATGGGCTGGTGGCTGGTTTCCAGAGCCAGTATTTTCCATCTGTGCTTGACCGTGAATGGCAATTTTACTGCTGCCGCTATAGCCGGAGATGCCCATATTCATGCTGGTGAGTTCAAGCAGAAACCAAACCTCTTGGCCTCTTTTCCCCAGCAGTCCCTATAAGTGTCTTTTGCTGCTTGGCGCATCAATAACCTTGTCGGAGAAAAAGTGAACTGTGCTTTATGGGGCTAAGCAAGTTATTTCCGGTCTGGTAAGAGGATTCATGAGGATTCATGGCTAAGGGAGGAGAACAAGGGCAGAGCTACCCTGAACAGTGTGATGCAGTAGCAAGCCCCAGATGAACAGGTCTGGCTACCAGCAGCAGCCTAGCTGTGCTGGGAAGCATGACAGAAGTCTCCTAAGTGGAGGGCCATTTCAGAGGTGGTGATATAGCTTCCACTATAAATCCAGCACATTTACAGGAGTAGGAGCATCTCTGCGCTACGCCAGTTGTGCCACAATGACTTACAGGAGTGAACTTATTGACAACTACCTCAGAAAAAATATCCTCTGGCTGACAACTTAGGATTTTTGTATTTGCGGTACATACAACTTGCCCTCCCTGTTAAGGCTGAAGACCAAGTCAAAATGAGCTACTGATCACAGCCCAAACCTAAAAAAAGGTAGCCTCACCTCAACACAGTATCACAACTGGTGCTGACCACCTCACAGAGGCTATGGGAGAAAGAGCTACACATCCCAAGCTTCCCTATGCCCCCAGGTGTGGTTTCTCTAAATTAAGACAAAAAGCACAGCAGCAGACTGTGTAGAGAAAATGCATATTGCTCCTGTCCATTCTGTGTAAGAGAACACATGGCTTTACATTCTGGGGCTATTAATCCAGATATTCTCACTGATACAAAGAAAAAAAAAAAAAAAAAAAAAAAAAAAAAGAAAATAGCCGAAAAAAAATTGTGCTTGAATCTTTGCTTCCAGAACTCAGCTTTTAAGTAAACTTCCCATTGAGACGCATACAAACTGTTTATATGCCCGTGGGCCTTTACTTGTCTGGCTGGCTACTGGCCAAACACAACAGCAGTGCTTTGCTTTGCATCCTTCAGTCTTCTTGCAGACAGGAGGAAAATAATTGAGGTTTTATTATTATTTTTAAAGATTTTAAATGACAGGAACTCTGTAACAAAGTCTTTGAACATTCTTCTGCCCCCTTTCCAGCCTACACTGCCTACAGATGTTCCCTATCTGGTGGATTATTTACATACTTGCCCAGGCTCTTCCCTCTGAGGGAAATTCACTCAAACTTTTAAGCAGTTCTTCCAATCTCTCTTACTCCTCTAATATGGGGTGTATTTTCAGAGAGATGGCAGAAATCTTCTCTGACCTCTTTTGTTGTTGTTGACAGTTCTGCTTCCCTCAGAGGTTGTCTTGACAACTGGGAACAGCTTTGTTTCTGCCTCACAAATTGGCATTCAGAGTGATGCAAATCCTGATGTAAATGTTTGGGGTTACTGATGTCTTGCAATTCCATTCCAGCTGCACAGACTCCTATATTGCCCTTATGTTTCCAACAGTGACAACACTCCATTTTTATGCTTGGAAAGAATGCCTTGTGCAGTTCAGCTGCCACTGTCTTTCCATGCAGAAAACACAGCATCTCAAAGGCGGATAAAGCATTTTTCCCTCTAAGCAGGGTAGAAATCCCATGTGCTCAAGTTATTCTGGGAAGGGAGAGCTGTAAAACCTCTGGGAAGACCTGTCACCTGGCTTCTGAAAAGCTTCTGGTGCACGGTTTGTGATTATAGTCCATTATAAAACCATTTACATACCCTGTATTACTAGGCTCAGCCACTCTATCTGGAGCCCAGTTTGTTCTGTTCAAGCTACTGGCTTATCTTGACACTTCCATGTCCACTCTCAGCCTGGACAGTCTCTCATAGTTCATTCTACTTGAGAGCTTTGTTTGACCTTGCTCTCTTACAAGTGAGTGCATTCCTACAATATATTTCCTTCCCATTTCTTTCGATTTCTCATTCTGCCTATGGTGTTAGCAAGGTAGATACAAGCTCTTTCTACATACAGTTATCCCAATTAGGATGTTAGATGGACAGACAACTAGATGGGTAAAAAAATGGTGGTTTAACAGGCTCAGAGGGTAGTGGTTAAAGGGTGACAGCCTGCCTGGGTGCCCCCTATGAGCAGAGCACTGTAACTAATGGTCTACCCTGGGACCCCTCCTGATTAACATCTTTATCAGTGACCTTGAGGAGGCAACAGAGCACACTCTTGCCAAGCTTGCACCAAACTGGGGGGGGAACAGTGATACATGTGAGGGCAGGACTGCTCTTCAGAGGGATATAAAGAAAACCCTTTCCTCTACGAGGACAGTGAGGTAGTAGAGGAGGTTTTCCAGTGAAGCTGTGCAAGCTCCATCCTTGGAGGTTTTCAAGATTTGACTGAATAAAGCCCTGAGCAGCCTGGTCCGACCTCGTGGTTGAGCCTGCTTTGAGCGGGGGACTGTAACAGAGACCTGTTGAGGTCCCTTTCTGCCAGAGCTATCCTGCGATTCCCAAATAGGAGGACTCCTCTGCTGGAGGGCCCACACCATGCAGCTAAGCTCAAAAGCAGCAGTCTCCTGCCTATTGTCTGCTGGGAATGGTTTCTTTTCTAGTTTGTTCCCTTTACCCCGTCTATTCAGTGTCTGTGAGAATGCTAACTGTTATGCTAACATATGAGCAACATAAACTGCAATGCGGTAGCATGCTTTGCACCCCGTTTTACTACTACAGATGTGACTTGTCTGAATTGTTAAACTTCAGTGTACAGCAGCTAAACTTCCCATTCCCTAAGCTCAGGAGATCTCACTCACAACTTCGCTTCCATTGGCATTTCCAAGTTACTGTCACAAAACCTCGTTCACACATGACACTTCTGGTCTGTATCTTGCACTCTGTTTAAGACGCATTTGACAGAGAGAATATATTTTCCAAACAACCTGCAAAGCAGTTCTGGGCTACCATGGGTATGACCTCAAAATGTATATGCATATAAGACACAATAAAAATGTGTGTACATATACAGTATCATTACTTATTATAGTTTCTGCCCCAACCTATAATGGTATGTATTCTGTTCCAGAAACTAGCTGTCAATAAACTATCTGTGGAGAAATGGCTATTAACATGCTACTGACTCCAATTTCTTGGTTGAAGCAGCTTAATTTCATGCAAAGGCATCTACTAGTGTATGGCTATCTGGAAAAGCAATACAGGAAAATATGCAATAACTGTGGTGCCTCATGGATCATGCGTGACACAGGAAGATCCATATTCAAAGACAATCCACATTGCAGAATTTCTCAGCAGCCTTGAATTTTAATGTGCAATGAATCCTTCATTATGAAACTAAGTATGAGCAGAAAAGCATTTTTAAGAAAACTGACAATACTGAGGCATAACAAAACTCTTTGTTTTAAATTAGCTCTCACCTTGGGTATGTGATCCCTTCCTCCTCCAGTTGTCTCTGTACAGGGCTCTCTGGCAAATATAAAAGCAGTAAAACAGCTGATCTTTATGCATGGTTACTCTTGGCTTTTCTTCTTCAGGACTACACTCCTCCTGAAGAAAGCTGGTCTTCCCTACAATGAATAAAGAGAGGTTTTCCCCATGTGTATGAGCCACGCAAATGGTTTGTTAGAATTTGACCTGTTTTTTACAGCTAGAACATTCCTGTGTTTTTTGAATACTGCTAATACTTTTTTGAATATTAATTTATGACAGCATCATGCTGACTGAGACTCACACTTAAACACATTGCTTAATGTAGAAACATGGTTAAAGCCAAATACACACTTAAGGACTTTGCTCAGTAGCATCTATATCCTTACTCTTAAGAGCCCAGCAGTTCTGTTTCACAGCTTGTCTCCTCACCATTAATTCCCAGTTTACCTGTACAGTAAGCCCATATTGAAAATAAATATACCAATCTTTTCCCATCTCATAGTTTTGCACTTGCTATTTTAAATTTTTTTTTTTACAAGTACTTTGTTTCCTTCCTCACCACGCCAAGTTTTGTCATGGATTCCACACATTTTTTGCCATAATGAAAATAATTAACATTCCTCACAGGAGGCAGAAAAGCTCCCATTATTTTACCTACCTAGGGAATGTTACCACAATAAAATAAACTGTGCGCTGATTCAAAGCATAAAGGAAGTAAATCTGTCGCAGATGCAGACAGTGTTATTAAGTGGTCCCATTAGAGCTCAGATTTTTCTGTTTGCCAGGAAATTGAAAGCTTGACTCCATACTCTCAAAAGCAAACACATGTCACTGAGCAGCCCCACAGACTGCACAGACTGCTTATGACTGTTTCCCCTCTCCAAACAACCGGTAGTCCAAGTGCCAGAAGGCCTGTCTGGAGCTGGGGCTGCTCTCTGTCACAGTGACATTGTCCAGGCAACAATTACATTTTCCAAGAGTTATGGGACTTAAAAGAAGTCATTTGTTTTCTTGACTCAACCCACCACCAAAGCCATATTGAAACTGATGAGATCCTATGCTGGTTTTTCAGAGATTACCAACAGCAGAGATACAAATCCAGGAAGTGAACTCAGAGTAGATGTGTAGAAGGATGCACTTCTGGGCAATGCAATTCCCCCCCCCCCCCC